TGTTGCACAAGGATATCAAATTGCGGAAGCTCTAAGACATGGTACAGTTTATTTAGCTTGTTAAACCGGACTATCTGATCCAGTACTGCTTTTAATACACGGTTAAAAATATGAGTCGAAAAAGTATGAATAAATCTATATATATATATAAAAGAAAGTCGTGTTAGTTACATTATTTATAACTCAAGTTATCAATATATTAAGTTTTTTTTATATATCCACGCGGACGGAGCCGCGGGCGACAGCTAGTTCGTATTAAATGTCTTACCATGGGTTTCTGAAACTAAAATATAGTTTAAAACAAATTGTTATCCCTATTTTGTCAAAGATAACAGGGATGATAATATGTTTTTACAAAGATTTTGATGTCAGAAACTCACGGTAAGTAACACTTGTAAGTATTCCGATCGTTTTGTTAATTCTCTTTCTTGTTTTATATATAATAAATTGACAGATACCTTGCCTACCTACATCAATTCAAGCCAATTTGGTCAAGAAACTTATTTTGTAAAAGTAAACTCAGATATAGTTTGGTGTATTTTTGTGTCAATATTAAATTTGTGGGCGGAGAGATAAAAATTACTAAAATAGTCATAAGACCTTGAACAAAACAAATAGTTATTACTTCTACATTGAAATACAATCTATACATCAACAGTAACAAGATCTTTAACCATGATTTTCTGAGACCGAAATCTTCGTTTAAAAAATATTGTTATCTCTATTTTGTCAAAGATAATGACAGGGATGATGATATCTTTTTTACAGTGATTTTGGCATCAAAAACCCACGGTAAATTAGATTATAAAACTATGTGACAAATATGTTATTACAATGCATACGAATCTACGCGATCATTGTGCGACTCGGAAATTGCAATGTCTCCCAGCCGATGAAGAAACGCCATCTATTGTTAATATTTATAAATATAAAGAAAAACAAAACAATGGCGGGCATTTAAACACGCGTTTACTTATCTTCGAGTCACCATTAACAAATAGACTATAAAATGTACGCGGGAAAGGGTATCGCGAAATATTATTACGAATGACATTGTACCTTAATCCATAGGAATTAGGGTATATAATCGTTTGCTATGTCACAACAGCTGGAAAGGTCAGGAGGACGGAACCTCACCTACTTCCGCCGTGTCAATGACCTCTTGGAATTAGTTCACTATCAAGCGGTCGCGTGAATCATTTTATTTTAAGAACTAAAATTGTGGAGCAAAAGAAATGGGTTAAAACAAAGTTTATACTTTTACAAATCCCTCTATATTTTTTTAATATGCCAAGATATTCCTAATAACAGGTTTTGAACCTATATTGAGGTACTTTTTCCTAAATTGACACTTAAGATGAAAGGAGTAAAGGTGCTTCTTTATTCTCATATCAGTTCCCCAAGTGTTGTGCTAAAATCAAGGATAATTTCCATCATACGACGACCTTCAATTAAATAAAAAACCTACTATAACACAGTAAAAACAGGAAGCAAATCATAATTGTTTAAAGCCAGCTCAGGTGTTTGTGGTCTGACGAAGTGACAAAAAATTCAACTGTGTAGGTTTCACTAGTCAAGGTAAACTTGCTTAACGAATAAGACGTTTAGCTTACCGACTTCTTGTCTGTTACGTCGTTAAAGATATGTATTATGAAATTTATATAAAACACGACATAAATATAGTAATTCAGAGGTTCACAAGTTAAAGAAGTTAGGTACAATTTTAATAAAAACCTTGAAAAATAAGCAGAGATTACGGATTACAATCCTACACCTAAAACATAATTATAAACTATAATCAAAGCTTTTTATTTATTTTCTTCATATTAACATTAACTGTGTCAAATTTCATATTCACCGCTTCCCGCAGTTTCCTTAGAAAGGGAATTTTTCTCTTATTGTATTTACTAGCTGTCGCCCGCGGCTGCGTCCATGCTGAATTACAAACTTAATAAGTAGCCTATGTGTTCTTCGAGACTATGTTCTACATCTATGCTAAATTTCGGCGAAATCCATGTGAGCCGTTTAGGTGATACCTTCAAACAAATATCCATCCATCCATCTAAATATTCACATTTATAATATATGTAATAAGTAAGATATAATCTACCTAACTCATATTATTATAAATAAAAGATTATTAGCGTGTACAATGACGTCTCTGTAAAACATCGCTATCTCAAAACTTTTTGACATTATCAGTAAGAAATAGGAGCGTTCACATTAGTGACCTTGTCACCCAAATTATGTTCGGTTTTAACCGACTTACTGCAGGTCACACTATCAAGGAGTTAGTTTCACAAGATATCGTGTATTTTTAACTTATTATTATCAATGAAAATCTATATCAACACAACTATCTACTAATTTGTAATTTAAACAAAAGGAAACGAAATCTATTGGCGTTTATAAACGTAGGCACGTAAAATAGGTCTCAATTCATTTTAAGAACGTACAAGAAAGAAGCGAATGATTTTTTTAAATTTTGTTCTAATTTCAATTAAATAAAGCCAGCATGTACACAGACAAAATTATAAACAAATCAAGTCTAAGTCAATAAAATATGAGAACAAGTAATGTAATGCTTTGGAGTTAACACCAAAAGTAAATAATCTAGTCTATGGAAAATTGGTTTAGATATTTAAGTAAATTTATAATATTACGGACTTTTTATTTTTAATCTGTGAGGCAACCATTTGATGTGATTTAAATTACTGAATATTAAAAAGCAATCGAATGATCTTTTGATTTTCTCAGATCGGGGACCGTTAAATAAAGTTATGAAGTTTAACGGTCTGTATAATTTAATATAAAGTTATATTAACCTTTACTTAACAAAGTTACAATGACTCAAAATAACGATGTCTATGCATTTGGTTTAAACAAACATTGCAATAAGTTGCTTGCTTTAGCAAAACCGCGTCTCTTCCGTCTCGCTCTAGCACACTATCTCGTGGCTTAGCGATTCCAGATTTCGGTATGATTATCTTATCACGACCCGTATTTAGTGACGTGTCATAGACTAACAAGATACGACAGCGGCGTAATTTTACTCAAAAACCTTTATCATTTGAAAATTGTTTATGTGATATCGGTGTTAATCTGAACCAAATTATGATCTTTTGTAACCACATGGTTGATATCTAAATATCATTTTTTATTAAAAAAAAGTCTTATTTCAAAGTATTTAAAAAAATAGCTTCGGTTTACAAAAATTTGATTTGTCTGATTTTCTGACGACAATACAAGCAATAGACAATACAATGATGATAATGGTTCACTCTATCCTAGTTTTCAAGTTGTTGATCCCAGGCATCGTAAACCAAATGCGCACATATTTACATCACGGAATACGTTATTCACGTCATTGTTGCCGTATTGAGTATACAATAGAAAGACGTGACCATCAACCTTGTGCGTATCAACTAAATTATTATTAGTAAGATAAAACACGCCTTTTGTACTTTACCACTTTTACCCACTATACCAAACATTTGATGTAATGATAAACGTAATGCAACGCGTTGCTTTTACGTGTTATTTTATTAATTTTCTCCTTGTTTTTTTTCTAAAATATATGTTATATTAAATTAAGGTTATTCTTATCGCGGCAGTTCCACCACACTGTAAAAAATATTGTTATCCCTATTTTTTTCTAATAGAATTAGAGGAATGGAAGATGGAATCTTCTATATAATCTATGGTATCTTTCTTAGGTTAACCACGGAGTTGAAAAGAGATAGAAATCAATATACGATTAACAACCAGTTTTAATCTGGCCAATTCTCCTGTCTTTTTGAATCATAATCTATGCATCAGTTCTCGGGTCGCGAAACGCGCGCTTTCGAAACCGGTCGGAGCGGCGCTAGTGAGCGCTAACCTACAAATTCTCGCTAAACAGACGTCAAACTAACCAACACTTTTCCTTATTTTTTTTTCTAAAGAATTACGTCTTTTTTAATAATGTACACAGTAGGTCAAAGTATCTGTGGTAGTAATGACTCAACGATCAATGGAAAGATTCAGAAATCGTCTTATTTCAGAATTTAAAACAGGTTAGAATAGCTGATAAATTTTTATTTATGTGAACTCAGAAGAAGATATGAAATCATACCTTTTACCAGTTTCAAACATTGGCAGTAATTTGCATTAGTTATTGAATGTTTTTACGACTGCAGTCTGGCAACAACTATTGTTAATATTGAAAACTTAATTAACCCGTCAGATTTACTGCCTTTATAATTTTATTGCTATTGCATTTACAATATTTGTATAGATATAAGATTTATAATATTAAGCTGACCGTAAAAAATCGTCATTAAAAATTCTGCAAAAAAAGTTTACTGACATTTAAAATTTAAAGCTTTGGTAAGTGATTAAAAATGAATTCAACAAAACTCAATCACTTTCAGTTAAATCCGGTGTGATATCAAATATTAACAGTAAAAATAATTTTCCTCGAAATTAACTGTTTTATCATATCCAGACATCGACATGTCAGAGTCGATGCTGGCATCCTTTTCAACGGTATGGGGAGTTCGATTCTGAATCTCGTAAATATACCTACCAATGAAAAGTATTGTTCTTTCGAGGGAAGAAAGTTGTCTCCTTCATTCGTTTGAACTTTCTAGATATAAATAAGATATTAACGTAGAGTAAAATACCAAGATATACCTATCCGTGCCTTGGAATGTTAAAACTTAATTAGCATACGAACCGTGAATATATATTTAAATATGGTCCAGTCGGATGATGCGAGGAAAAGAGATTATAAACACATTAGCATAAAACATCCATTTAAATTATAGCACCTGTTTTGGGAGAATAAGATTTATACAAGCCCTCACGCCTTCTTAGATCTACGGTAGCATAGGGTAGTATTATGTGAAAAACGATTAAGGTTAACAGAAAAGTCTTTCAATTTCATGATAAATTCAGCCAAGTAGTGTCAAGTAAGTACTCGACATCTTTTAGATGCATAAAATAAAAGCTGTACTTACATCATAGCTCCAGGTGCAGGAGACACCGGCGAACTTGGCGACGCAGCGGCCGAGCTCGACGTCCTCGTGCGTCGTGTAGAGGTGTTTGAGACAGTACTTGACGTGTGGCGCGACGCGTCGCAGCGTCTCACGCGAGATGAGCACCCCGGGCCCGCCCATGCAGAAGTTCTCGTTGTACTCGAGCGCCAGCGCGTCGCGCTCAGCTGCCGTGCCTCGCCCCGCCTGCCCGATGAACTGAGGCTTGCGGCTGTCCACCGAGCGCAGAAACTCTCCCAGCTTGTCACCGCGCACGTATACGTCGTCGTCCGCGCGCATGAACCACTCGAACCTGTCCCCGTACTTCTCGTACATGTACAGGAGCATCAGGAATGACTTCTTCTGTGGCGGGTAGCTATCGTCCACGAAGCGCAGCGGTACTAGCGGCAGACCCGGCGCGCGCGACACCTCTGAGCTGAAGAACGCGATTCGGCCTGGCAGGTCCTGCGCCCACGTGTCGTACACCGCACGGGCGCGCGACTCCAGGTACTGCTCCGCCGTCATCACACCCACGAACACTAGAGTCCTGTTGGAATTCTCCACCGTCTCTTCGGGCCTTAGACCTATGATACTCAGTGGATCCGGATCCACGTACAGTTTCCCCGCCTCAGGGCACGCTTGGATTGAAGTCCTCGAGGACGTTTTTAAGCACAGTTTAAGGAAGACACCTAGGGTGACGCCGGCGACGACCCCGGCCACCAGGTGCATCCACCTGCTCCTCCGCGGCATCGCGATTCGCCGTTACCAGCGACCACTGACACACTTTGCGGACCGAAGCATTCCACGATTATACCCTTTATCCCTTTCTCGTCGACAGGGGTAGACATTAGCGGACGACCACTCCGTTCACTTTCGATCGATCACATAGCCGATACGGGCGCGTCACGCGAAATGTGCCACTATCGCGTCGACATGAGCTATATATCGAATTTTGCAGATGTTATCGCAGCGAACGCGATCGTGAGCGGCGCGTGTCGAAATGCGATCCGCACATTCTGTACTCGCAGCGAGCTCTCGATATGAGCGGACGACTCGTGCGCCGGCTGCCGTGCAACTGCAACGTTGAAACGCGCCTCAAAACAAAACTTAGCAGCGGTAATAATTCGGCCCGTCCGTCGTCCGCAACTATAGCGCGTTCCCGCTCGCGCGTGGGGTTTCCGCGTGCTGCCGTCTCGGTCGTGGCCAGTGTTGCCGGGTTGTGAACTTGTCCCATTCACGGGCGGCGCGCGGCCAGCGGCCAGCCTCAGACAGACAATAGCCGACCGCTGTCTGACGGCCGGCAATCGCTGCCACATTTTGTTTCCACATTTTACGACGAAAAGCGACAACTCGGATGCAAAAAGCGGTCGTTAATTACGCTGGTATATGTACAGTCACGTATTTGTAAAATAAAGAATATATTTGATCGTCAAACTAACCTGATCGTAAGATGTTAGTAAAGACACAGATTATTTTAGCGAACTTCATACACCAGATTCTCATTTTGTTGATCCTGTTTACATTTACACTGCTTCCTTTATCTGTACAAAGAAACTTTAAAAGATTGTTACAAATACACTCAATCGCTGAACTATTTTATACAACTGGTTTTTGTAATGGATCAGATTGTGAGGGATTAAAAAAAGAATACAGTAAAGAGCAAAGCTCTCATTAGCCTGAACCTCAATTGGCCGAGCACGCGAGCCCAGCAGCCCGCAGCCGAGCCCCGCGGACGTTTACCAAACAAAACGCCAAACAAACTCTCTCAATGCCACACAAACAATTCTCCAAATATAACTGCAACCTAACCGTTCGTTACATTTCTAGAGCAGGGTTCAGCGCTCATTTTGAGTCTCATTAGTGTTATTATGATTGTGACTAAAACACAACCAGGCTAAGTTCTAATACGATTGCAGTGTTTAACAGACTTTATGATACGGGAAAAGGAATCTTCGATGATCCGCTTGATTTTCTTAACAGGTGCTCAGCTGCCACCATATCTTGTCTATATATAAGTAGATAACTTTTACAGCATCTGTGAAATAGAATATTTACATTTTACAGATAAATTAAAGCTATGCCAAGGAACTTTTGCGATCCTAGCGAAGACATCCGCTCTTAAATAAGTAAGTTGATACTTTTTTATTAGTTCAGCGAAATGGTAATGAACGTAAAACGTTCATCTCGGAATTGTGACCCGGAGAGCGCACTAATGAACCAGTAGGGTGACCATAGACAAGACGCCAGCACTCTGATACTTATTGGGGAAGGAAATAAAACCTCTGTCAATATTTCACAAGTGAATATGGTCTATCTATAGGGCCTTGTGTAATTCACAACATTTTTTTTTTACCTAAAAATTATCAGAAAATGTAAGAGTTTAATATTATATTATACATATTTGTGTATTTTCATGTTTTATACTTTTGTTCAATATAATAATTTATGATTTTGATGATAACGCAATACACACTGTAACCATGCATTTCGAAAAATTCCAGAATATTTGAATGCCATCGACCATCCAGTCTTATGCCACTAGCAATGCTATGATCTTCAAATATTATTTTGTAATAAAATTATACATAAATAATTCTTTGTTAGACATTATTTGATACAACGTAGACTATTGTCGAGCTAGACAACTAGCCACACATTTAAAAGAACAAAGCCATTTTGTATTTTGTCGGATATCACAAAGTGGTTGCGACTGCATTATATTAATGTTATCTTTGAAACATAAAATAATTAAACTTAACAAGAAGGAATAAATTAGAAAAATGATAGATACTAATCTATAGTACTTATCATAAAACAACGAAACAACTGTAATACTTTTTTCTACATGAATACATAATTGTAATACGTTATCTACTAATGTTCTAACAATGTATTAAAAGTAATTTATATTAAAACATTTTGAAAGACAAATTTTATTTGATGATACATTTCGCCGCGCTTAATACTAAATTCATGTTCTGCCATAGACAAGAAGAATAAAGTAAAAAAAATAATTGAATTATTTCGTAAGAGCTTTTAAAATACCTTGTAACAGATACCATTGTAGTAGTTTTTCTAGTCTTATTACTTAGGAAAATTCTAGACTATAGTTGCTTTTCGATGTCTTTTTTAAATTGTGTAATAAAAATTAAATAATAGTAAATTTGAAAAAAAGAGGTAAAAGGTGACAAATAACGCATTATGGTTTCTATTTAAACAAAGTATGTCATGGTCACCCTTAGTGCACTTTTTTCTCGTCGTAAACTTAACATTGACATGAAAAAAACAGAGACGCATAAATGACGCCGACACGACGTCATTCGGCAGTTGCGGGTGCAACAAGGGTGCTTCCACGACTGTCACACATGTGTTGACGCAGTCATTTGTGTGACAGATGGCTGCTTCTCATGGCCAATGAATGTTCTAAAGTCATCTTCACTCTTGGTATTATTTGGCTGTTACAACAAATTTTATTAAGAGTTGTTTTAAGTATGGTATAAGTTGCATTTCAGTGTGACGTCAAGACGTTAAGAAAGTCTCTTATTTTAAGAAATCTATACTAAGCAACGTTTTATAGTTCACTGGTTCATCCTCGAAAACATATTTCATTTCATTATGATCGTAAACTTGTCCTAAGAAAAAAGTTAAAATTCTATTTTTATGCAGCCTCTATCACATTACTCAAATAAAATATGTTGACTTAAAAATAATGATAAAGGCGTGAGATTTGCAATGCAGTTAATACGCACTGTTTTTATCATTATAAAATAAAACAGACAGACATTTTAACAGCTTAAAAAATATATTATATAATTTGTGAGTACTTAATAAAATGAAAGAGTTAGACATTACAAATTATGTGGCAAAAGTCTTAGCTAAATAGACTATATTGATACCGTTCGTAAAGGATAAAACGCAATTTTCATTGTAAAATAGATTTCTCGTTAAAATCGACTGACCTAGATTTTAGTTAAATGTTGATTCATATTAAAATATGCTCACAATTATTAAAGTAGCCTATTACTTTGTGATGATTTAATATTTTGCTAACCGATTTACACACATTTGCTGAGCGGTAAATAACTCGCTAGGTGGTGCACTCGAGCAAATATTTATTCAACTACTGACTTTTGCTTACTTGTATAATTTATAAACATAATAGTTACGCATTTGAAATACTAACAACATACTAAAGCACGAGACTTTATTTCTTCATTATAATTCTTTCGCATAATTATTTTAACGTATACATTATTTTATAATCTGTAATTTCTTTGTTTTCAAATAAGCTGTCAATACTTGCTAAATATCAAATATGAAAAACGGAACCGTAAGATACATATTGATCTATATTTCTAAAGAACATTTTGGTAAAAAGGCTTCAAAGAAGCCCAGCATACTTTGATATTTAATTGTGGATCTCTGGACAAAATCTCTGTATAAAAATATTGTCATTCATGTCACTATGACAAAACAGAGATAACAATATGTTTCAACGGGGATTTTGGTCTCAGAAACCCACAGTAAGTAACTTATTGTGGCATACAATAACTTCAGGACACGTTTTATATTAGAACAAAATAATAATAGTATTGCTCTTAAGATTTTGCAGTAAAAGTTTCATGTTTCTGTTTGTTGTAGTTAGGTAATATTATGTCAAGTAGATACTTATTTCAATTAGGTAGAATAATGAAAAGATAAAGTAAAAAAATAACAATTATCGTCTATAGCATTTTATTTGACAAGCACGAAAGCAACTGTAAAAAAAGAGAAATCCATACGTGGTATAGATCATTAATTTGTTTAATATTTAGCCTTACAGCAACAATATAATTATCACAAATATTTTTTTAATAAAATGACCAGCACAGACACAGATAAAAAATATTTATTACTCTTCACTTACACAGAGTAGTTTTTACAATGTTGTTTATGGTTGATGTAAGGCTAAACAGTGTTACCCAATAAAAATAGCCAAAACATTTTAACGCTACTTTTTATATTTTTTAAGGAATCACTCTGGCAGAAATAATTCCATGGACGAATTAAAATAATTAAAACTAATTGCACAGCTCCTTATATTTATTTATATTATAATCTATGTCCGCAAAGTTTATACCTCGAGATTATTTTAAAATATATAAAATATTTGCCATTCTGTATTACTTCGAAATTTTAAGCATACTAAATTCTGAGAAAATCTAACAACATATATAAATTATCACGTAATCACACATCCGAAAACACGTTACAACCTAACATTATTAAGTTCTTACCTAAACATTTATGTGGAAATTGTGATTTTGAGAGAAGGCACACCAAAGTTCAAACCATGAAATGCAATAGGTTTATAAATGATTACAATGTAATTTACTGTTCTTGGGTAAGTTGTGACGTCATCCGCGCCATGCTATTTAAAAATAACCTATAGATGGTATATTTTATACAAAAACAGATATTAGGCAAGACGCAAATTCATCCAACTAAAAGGTCTCTAGTTGTCTTTTCTCCCCTTTCTTTTGTGCTCCGTATACGGTATTTATAGGTTATTTATCTTTGTCAACAGTATTCGAAAGCATAAACATTTCTTTTTTCAATGATCATAATGAAATTAGCAGTAATATGGTGATGTAACATTATAACAAAACTTCTCAGTGGAATGTGGAAAATTTTAAAACAGTTTATTGTTAAAAATACGTTATTTTGCAATAAATTCTAAGAAATCATTCAATAGTATACGTTATCAAAGTTATTTTAGTTGATTTTTAAGAAAAGTGATTGTCAAAAACGTTATTTAACTTATTCCAGTTTTAAAATTTTATTTAATTTTCAAGAGTATTAAGAAGCTCAGTACTATCTATTGTTATTTAACAATACAGGCATCTATTACACGTTAATCCATTATTTTGCATATCAATTAGCAATAGAAATATATTATATTTAAATGCCATATAATTTACAAGTTATTCTCACATAACATGGGAAAATAAACAACCAAAAGCATATCCATATTGATAAAACTTATAGTTAAATACAGCTTTGACAGATTTTACCGACCTCAAATTAATTCAAAGTTTACTTAAAATTACTAATAATTTTAATAAGATAACTTTAATCTAGTGCCTCATTTTCTCAAATCTATCACAAAACTTTATGTACTCTATGATCCACGCTAACGCACTTCTCTTCTGACACCTCTTTACTCTATGGTAATGGATTACAATGACAGTGACAATGACCTAAAGGTCTATGTTACCAGGTCATAAAATAAAAAATTACAGTGAAAGGCATATTGATAACGACAATCGATTTTCGCAATCTACCTATTTGATTCTAAGTATAACTCAACAATAAATCATTTACTGACAAAATAAAAATAAAGAATAAATTTGCTAATAATAAATAGCAAAAAATATTTAAAATTTGATTTTCACCAACTAGTCCCTACTTTCACAGCGCAAGACTCGGCATCTACCACATCAGTGGATTTCCTCTTCACTCGTGTATACTTCAATTTTCTGATAAATCTTGGAACTGACTCAGCAATTCCATTCATCTTTATTCCACATGTCCAAATAGAAATTTCTTTACGTAGAAACAAGTTCGTCTAAGGCCTTCTCTTTGTCGAAGTTGTGTTTCGAGCATGCATTGAACACACCAGCTTCGGGAAATCCGAGGTCCAACAATTCACCAACAATAAGTAGACATTCAATTATCTGAAAATTGACGAACAAGTTATATAGCATTTACACTTAACACAGAGAAAGAAAAAAAAACAAGGTTTTCATTATTTCAATCAATACAAACCTTTTAATTATATTTAAATCCATTACTAAAATTAAGTATGTATAAAATTATATAAACGTTAGAAATCATTATTTTAAAATACTAAAAAGTGACTCAACTTCTTGAAAATATAGAGTTAATAAACACCTACTATGCTGAATATTATAACGGCCATGACTCTGTCTTGTGCCTTCATAATTGGACTAAAATAAGTCTTAGTAAAATGTCGTCACAGACTATAATTGAATTACACTGGCGACATCGTGTTGATCAACAATCAGTGTCATGACTATAGGTCAACTTTTAGTGATGAACTCTCATTATTTGTGATGAAATGTGCATCAATTATTACAAAACATATTTTAAATAGAAAATCACAGAAATTAATCATTGTATTGTAAAAATGAATAAACACTAATGTTTTAATAACCATCAAAAAATACTCAAAAATTTGAAATACCTTGGTATTAAATAATATTTATATTTACCCTTTTATCATTTTCCCCAACCAAAAGGCAGACCCTGGCCACCCTATCCAAGGGAAAGCCCATTGCATGTATCCTGTCACAAACTTTTTTCTTTGCTATCGGAAATTGTTCATAAGGATTTGGTAGTCTAACGCTTTTCTTTTTTCTCCGTTCTTTTTTTTCACTAACTGATGATGGCTTCGCTGAAACATTTGGAGCAGGACTGGCATTGCATGATCTTTCACTGGCTCTCAACTTTGCAGAAGCAAGTTCCTCATTCAATTCTCTAACAATATCTGGTACACTCCGGGAACGAGACTTCATTGTGTTCTGTGAGCTAGCTGTCATAGTCTGATCATCAACAGGCTGGTCTCTTGGTTCATTTGTGTTATAACTTGCTACACTTGTGTATTGCATCGGAGGCTGAGGGTAGTGAAAGTAGTAAGGATGCGGTATAAATGTAGAACCATTGTTAACTTGTGTAAGTTCACTCGTAGTTGGTCCAGGATTACTGTAACATAAATCAGGAGGACCAGCCTGTGCTGGGACATAGTACTGATAATTTGGCATGTACATGTTCATATTGTCCATTGGTACATTTTCACAAGCATTTTCAGGAGCTATGTAATACCCGTTGGATATAGGATAGTGTTGTGGAGATGCATATGTTGCATTTGGACCTTGAATTGTCTGTTCCATATAAGGATTAGGTAAATATGCTACACCTTCTATTTGTGCTTGTGTTGCACAGTTTGTATAACCTGTATAATTTTGATCAGGTATATAAACTCCTTGCACTGGGCAATTGGATGTTGAATCTCTTTGCAGTACTTGTGCCAACATCTCCATGTCATTTAAAGTCTTCAGTTCAATATTATCAAATGGACTTGATGTGTCATTTTCAAAATCTCTAAATGTTAGTGTATCAATGTTATGATTATATTGAGGTATTTTACCAATTTTTGAACTCATTTTTAATTCCTGTAATGGATCTGGATCATCTAAAAGACTCTGCTGGTAGCTGGTCTGGACCTGAACAGGCTGCAGGATATTCTGTTGGGATTCCTGCGTGGTAACCACGTATGGTTCCGTGCTTACAGCTTTATCAACTTCCAGGGATGTCTCTTCAATTGGGGATGTTTCACAATTTTTATCTACTTTCTCATCTGAGGAAATTGCACTTATCTCGTCAGTACTAGGATAGGATACTTCCGAAACACTTAATTGCTTTAGCTTCTCCTCAGCCTCGGCAGCTGCGATCGCATCTAATTTTTTTTGCTTTGCTTCTTCCAACAATTGTAAGCGATGCCTCCTTTCATTCTTTTTAGTCTCCTTTGCATTTCGGAGCTCTTTAAGTTTAGAAAGCACGTTACCTTCGAAAGTGGAGCAATATTTGATACTGTCGACAACATTTTGCGCTCGCTGTGTACACTCGTTTATACCATACGGTAGCTCTATCCTAGGAGGTCGCTTGTATTTTTCCGAAATTTTAACGGGCACACCGTCCATAAAATCCCCAAAATGTGACATATCAATAAAATCCACAGTACGGAGATACTAAAAACTCAAACAATGATAAGACAAAGTTTGTTTCTGTACACTTTTTGCACTTTTAAGGTTACATTGTTTTCTTTCGACGTCATCACTTCATTTATTTTTATATTAGTATGATTAAATTCCTAAATCTGTGATAGATTCCATATTGACTTGAAAACAATTTTCAATCTAATATAAAATGAATCTACTTTTAGGAACAAATATTCGACTATTTCCTGCCTGAAATCCGAAATGACAATTGATTGACAAATTCATTTGACATTCATTGTCAACCTTTTTGTGTTGCTACCTTAAATAAAAGTCATGTGATCTCAAATTCGATTGTTTTAAAACAGAGGGAAATATATTCATTGTTCGTTTTTTATTAAAAGTTGTTCACTAAAATGAAATTAAGGAAGTTGTTTGAGTATAATTTTTACTGTAATTTAACCATAAACGTCTCCAATCGATGTCATTGTTACTGGCCTTGAATGGAACACGCAATTTTGAACCAAAGAAAATTAGTTAATCACGTGTGTATTGCGCGGAAATCCGTCAGATGTCGCTAGCGCTGCTTCCTAAAGTCATGGCGGAATAGTTCTAATAATTCAACGATTTATTCATAATTCGTGGGTAGATTTGTTATTATTACCGGTGTCGAAATATTAAACGCTTATCCTGTTCGTATTCGTATAGTGAGAGTCTAATAAACGTTCGACCGACACCTTACCCGAATATTGCCAACATTGTTGAAAAGTAATTTCAGTGGTAAATATTCGCCAAATATTTAATACAGAGCCGCTCTAATATTTTTATTACGTTTAGCATGACGCAATAGGTTCTAACGACGTCAAAATATTTAGTGCTGGATATAAAGGTTGGTATGCATAGTTTTTATAAGCTTGCTGGGGTTAGTATTTTTGGGCACAGTTTTAATTGAAATAATGTCTTGCAGACGGTGGTTATGAACGAAGGTTCCCCAATAATGTACCATGGGAACGGCTACGGAGGAGGAGTGTATATGGTCCCTGGCCAAATAGACAGGTCACGGCAGTATCCCTTGGAGATGCTCCAAGTGCTAAGCAGCGCTGGGCGCGGCAACGGCGAGCACGGTCAAGGAGCGCCGCGGCGGTGGCAGGCGCGCCGGGAGCGTCAGCCCAGTAACAAGGACAATACCGCCTTTAGCTACGACTCTGATGATTCCAGTTTATCTAGCAATGCATCTGGATCAAATAAATCTAGTGAAAAGGGTATGTAAATATGTCAAATATATTTTCGAAATTTAAAAATACACTGCCTACCCTCAAAAGAAAAATTAAAATTGGAACAGTTTTCTTTATTCATGGGTTGAAAAGCAAGTTATTTTATAAACAACAGTATTTTTGACAATAATCCACATATTAGTTCAATTAATTATATCAAAATATTTTGAGGTAAAATACCTTAAAACTAATTTTAATCAGTAGTACTTGAATTAAATAGTGTTGTGTGCTGTAAAGTTTTTATAATTTAAAATTAATTTATTTGCTAAACAATAATAATGTTGTAGTTTTTTTGCCGGCTTATGCTAAATAATTGTACATAAATTCACATAAAATATTACCATCTTGTGGAAAAGACTTGAAGTTGGAAGCTTTCAAAATAAGAATTGTAAATGAATGGTTTAACATTTAGTTACAATAATACTACAGTTTACTATTGTAAATTGAATACAAATACTATGTCCTTTGTACTATTATTTGTCAACACATATTTCTAGATAAAGGTGAGATGTAAGGTTTGATGGAAGGCATGGGTAGAGGTTTAAGACACTATGACTACAAGTTTCAGAGATCCCGGTACTTCCTTGTTAGAGTTGGCTCATTCATGCAACAGCTGTGGGTTTATTAAAGGATAGTTTTGATTGTGTACACTAAAATTGTACATAGCAATTTTTACTTGACAATATAGTTAACTATTGTAAATTTATTTTTTACCACAGCAGTATTGCTGCCCCACAGGACATGCATCAGACATCAATATGATGAGTGCACTATATAACATGGTAGATATTACATCTTTTGTAGGGGATTTTACATGAAGAACAGAGAAGCCGAAGAAGAAACCTATAAATATCTGTTTGGCAAGTATAATACATTAAGTTGATGTAAACATTTGGGCTTATAGGCGAGGGCAGTTCCCGGGCGGAGCGCAGCACTGCACAATCGGCAGGGGACGCAGCACCGGTGCAACAACAGCGCGAATGGCGCGCAAGGCCGAAGCGTGACTTCCGTCCCCGCAGGATCCCCCTCGAGCGCTTCGCCACCGCAGCATACCCCTCACAGATTAAATTCACACCTGATGATTTGCTCAATGGTAAGTTGTGGTAACACTTTATATTCTAGAGCCTTAACAGTGTTGTTGCATGAATGTGCTGATTAAAACTTGAAATTTTTCATCTGAACTTGAAATAATGTAGTCTGATATGGCTAATATGTCCCGTCTCTTTTACAGAATATTTTATAGTGAATGCGTTAGAATATTAAAATAAATGGGTTTGTTTGACCAGGATCAAAGTGGGATTCCCTGTCGCAGGAGATTTGGGACAAGTTCATGAAGTCGCAGCAGACAGACGAGACATTCAGAAAGAAGATGAACTTGTGGCGCTACCTCAGCATGGCCATTAGGGTATGTTGTGCAGTAATAATTGCTGCTCAATCAAATATTTTATAAAGACGCAAATCGAAAAAGTGTTATGAACATTTATAATATAAAACAAAGTACTGATGATGGTGACTAAATTGCAATATACAAATGGTAGTATCTCTATAATATAATTGTGTTTTTTGCAGTCGATGTTCCCGCGCTACTCGCTGTACGTGGTGGGCTCCACGATGTCGGGCTTCGGGCTGGACAACTCCGACATGGACCTGTGTCTGCACGTGCGCGCGCACCAGCACGTGGATGCGCGCGCGCAGGCTCTCCTGCACCTCAACTACCTGCTCGATTACATAAGAACCTTCGACTCAGGTAATGTACACAGTTTTTTGAGAAAACCTTTACTATGTTATGTGGGTGTTTTCGCGAAAGGTCACTTATAATATAGACTGACGAGATCAGAACCCTTTGCACCGATGTGCAAAAAAAGTAGTGATCAGGTGATTACAGTTTGTGAAGTGAGTAACCGATACATGATGACTACGATCTGGATACTGCAGCAAAATGGAAGAGTTATTTTTAAATGTGCAAATTTGGGTTATATAATATGAAAGGGTCATTTGGTGTGTTTGAAAAAATGGTTAGGAAATTTGATATGTCCATGTTGTCATAAAATAAGTAGCGTATGTGTGTGTGTAGGTGCGGAACTGATCCATGCGAAGGTGCCGATCCTGAAGTTCCGCGACGTGCGCAACGGCCTGCAGGTCGACCTCAACTGCAACAACGTCGTCGGCATCCGCAACACCGACATGCTCATATACTTCTCCAGGCGTAAGCACTTTTATATTGACTTCATTCCTTTAGCCGCACTCAGAGTGAGTATCCCATAATGTAAATACCAACTTCGACTGCGCAGTTATTAGTATTTCTTATTTGTCTTTGCCAGCGACTTTGTCTGGGCAGAATTAAAAAAATTAATGGAAAGTATTTCATGTGTTATTCAAGACTATATTGAGCAGTTGCCGAATTATCAAGTAAATATGTAAAAATATAACAAAACTGTCCCACGGGAACCATATATATACATTATGTTCTACGTCTATACGAAATCTTATCGAGATCTATGCAACTCTCCGTTCGGGAGATACCTAGTAACAAACATCCATCCAACTAAATAGTCGTTTTTATAATATCAGTATGAATATGAAAGATGAAATAATAGATTGTTGCATTGTGTGATCTGTGATGTGTGCTGTGCAGTGGACTGGCGCGTGCGGCCGCTGGTGACGGTGACGAAGCTGTGGGCGCGCGCGCACCGCATCAACGACGCGCGCCGCCGCACGCTCTCCTCCTACGCGCTCACCCTCATGGTCATACACTACCTGCAGTGTCAGTATATAATTACACTTTATTTACTTCATTGTATTATATAACGCCGTCTGGTTGACTAGGCAGTAAAGTTAGTGTTTGTGCAGGCGGCACGAGCCCGCCGCTGCTGGTGCGGCCCGAGGCGGCGCACGAGCGGCGCGCGCACCACAACCGCGCCACGCTCGCCGAGCTCTTCCTGCACATGCTCAAGTACTATGCGGACTTCCCGTGAGTACACGCGCTCACCACATTCACTTATACTTTCCATTAATCATGTTTTTATTAACTATTTTTTATCGCTTCATATAATGTGACTAAATAAATTGTTTTGAATAAAATATCAGTCAAAAACACGTGATATGAGATGTCCCCCTCCTCGTGATGTTTCTTAAAATTTTCCCCTTCCTCTCGAAACTCACATGATTGATTAATAGACAAAACGAACTGATATTGTTATAAATATTGGTACAGATATGAACAAATGGCGATATCTGTCCGCGTGAAGAGACTGCCGCTGGCGGAGTGCCGCGTACACGACCCGCACCAGTGGAAGTGGCTCTGCGTCGAAGGTACGCCTCCATACCTCTTTGTAAATCTCTCTGTCAGTGATATGCTTATTTACGTACTTGTATTGTTTTCAGAACCATTCGACTTGTCGAACACGGCGCGCTCGGTGTACGATCCGGATATGTTTGAGAAGATAGTGTCGACGTTCAGGGAGAGCTACAAACGGCTGTCGGCCGGGATGCGGCTGGCTGACGCGTGGCCCGCCGCGCCGCACGCCGCGCCGCACTCCACCCCGCACGCAGCGCCGCTCGCCGACCGATGATGGCCGGCCTGCCCGCGCCCGGCCCTGCGCCCACACCGCACCGCACCGCCAGTGTACTGTGTCACAGTGTCAGTGTTAGCGGCCCGAGCCCAAGCCCGCGCCCGTGCCCGTGCCCGTGCCCTAGTGTCGGCGATCGCCAAATTATCTGTATCGGTCAATGCGGACTATGAAAGCTTTGGTACGATTTCTGATGGGGTTATGGATCTATGTTCCCGAACACGTGGTACCATAAATATTGTGCTAAATTGGCCACAACAGGACCTGTGATTGCTATCACTATATATCATTGGACAGCGCTGGTGACGGGCACCGGAGCCGATCGGGTATCGTAACCTCCCTGGCTGTGATAAGCGACTGATGTCCTTATGAGTAAGTCCTAGACTAAGCGTTGTTATTGTACTTATGTCTTTGACATGACTTCGTAAAGTTGGATCCTAAAGAACAAATATTATCAAAGAATTAAAAATCCATCGTACAAATAATGTGACTAAATTTCCTATCAAAATAACGCGAAAATACACATAATGCTTATTTGAATATTAATTACACAGTGTGGTATTTTGAAGGGGCAATTAGTCGCATTGCAAAACGAACTCCTAGTCGTAGAAATTTTTAGTGAATAGCAAGAGCTGGACTATTAGTTCCTAATGTTATAGTCAAAGTTACACAACTCCACTATTCCAGCCACTGATAACGGGTTGCATATTATAGTTTAATATTTTATATTGTACATAGAGCAAATGCCACTATGAAAATTATATGTTTGAACCCATAGTGCCATATTATTAAGGTATATCCACATAACTTATTCGGGACTGGCATCACTTGTGCATTTAATGTTAAATCTTTGGTTAAGGTTGAGGAAATTCTGGCTATAGTTGGAATGTGAGAAGTTCCGCTCGAAGACATAGTCCGGAACAAAGTGTAGTTGAAGTGTTTGTGGCATGTTTGTTGTGCAACTCGCTTCACTGAATTGAGATAATCCCAAATTTTTCTCTATGATTTAAATATTTGAAACAACTCCGATACAAATTGAAATATTTTCTATCATTTCTTATAATAATTTTAAATATAAAAGTGAATTTATTCTCCCCTTTGGTAAAATAAATAAATATTTATCGGCATTTTATACAATGAAATATTCTTTAACATATACAATGGACTAACTTGGTCCCTTATTACAACATTTTACAATTTTGTTTGCTTTCAATCACAAATATAAATTATGATGATAATTTTATGAAGTTTTATATAATTTTAAAAAGCTTTTTATATAAATTTAATATACAAATGCATTTTGCTTACAGTTGTTTGGTTTTGGGGTTATCTATGAATAAACGGTTTTAAAATGTCTATTCTTGTGAATAGTAAAGAAAGGCCTTGTTGAAGTACAGTTTCCAGTGAATGTAGGTTAGATAAATATATTTAGTGGATTTGAGAAGAGGTGCTGCCTGGAAATGCGTCCCTTGTCTTTTAATATTTATATTATTTATTTGTAAGCTATTTTAACATGTACATAGTAAGGAGTCGAAGAGAGGACAGAGCTGTAAATAGAAAAATGTTTAAGATATATATTGTAACACTTTATGTACATAGTATTTTTGTAATATGTTAAAAATGACAAAAAAAATTAAAATATATATATACAAAGTATGGTTGCAATAATGGCTTGGCAGTGCAAAATCAGCAGAAAGTTGTCTGTAATGTCGGGTTGACTGAAGTTAAATATGTAGACTTTAATTATTATCGTTGAAATTTTACAACAGTGCAATAAGGTTTGTTGTTTGAAAATAATAAGCAATAACTAATTCTAAATTTAATGACTAGTAAATAATATTGTGTGACTTGTTGGCTTGTAATGCTTCCTTTGAACATTTTAAGAGGTTTGTGCCACGGCTCCCATGTTATTAAAATTTAAGATGATATAAATGAACCATGCAATGAAAATGGTGCTTTTTTCCAAGTTATAGTAATGCTAGATTTGCCATATTTTAAAGTTTATGGAAATGGTGCTAAAATATGTTATTTATGACTGTGTTGAAACATATGTGCCATGTTGTTGCTCTTTTTATATGTTATAATTGCAATGGTACCATTAAATATAGAAGCATGTCATAACAAACTATATGCGGATGTGTTTGTAGGGAGATTAATAGTTGAAGGAGATTATTCAAGTATTCCATGCAACTGTAACTTCGCTCTGCCGATATTTCAACTTAAAACATGTTATATATTTCTCATGCTTTGAGTAAAAATGGGCTATATGTTTTTTTGCGAATTTTTTCGGTAACAGTATATTAATTTGTTAAAAAGGAAGATTGTAGGTAACTATTTTAAAATCCAACTGAAAGCCTGGAATTTAATTAAGGGCTATATCAGCTTGCTCCTATTATATTCAGATTTATAATGTCAGAACAGATGATTATTGGCAATTATTTTCCATCCACATATAATCTGTTTTTAATTTAAACAAGTTGATTCACCTCTTTTACATTCAATTGATTAGAAACATTGCATTTGGCACTAGCAATAATAAATATGTTGTGATAAGTTTTTTAAAAATTATACAGAAGAGGCACTGCCCCATGCTGAAAATAAAAAGTACAATAAATATAAATAATCTCTAAGAACACTGTTTAGACTAATGCATCCTAAAAATTGTTTACCAAAAAAAGTCAAGTCAATAAAAATATAATTAAAAAATACAAAAAAAATACAAAAGTTTAAAAAATATTAAAAAAAATAAAAAGTTTAAAAAGCACTTTGATTTTTATCAGAGTTTATACACAAATGTTTATAATTGTTAAAGGAGTGGATACACTCTATTGTTCCTTTTGATATTCCAAACATGCATCACACCCAACTTAAATGCATCTCTGACAAAATGTATTCTCGGGGGAACCTCTGTGATGACATGTGGCAACCCTACAGCATGTGACACAATGCTACAACAAACCTCTTGAAGCTTGCTTGAAAATGTGTTGCTGCTTGTGTACACATTTGTTGAGATCAAGAGACATTCTAACTATATGTCTGGAACATAAAAATATTCATGAAATAAATACTCTTGTGTATTTAAACTAGGCATTTTGATCTTTTTAATCTGCACACACACATGAAATGTTACCTGTTAGTAATATAACTTTCCTAATAGTTCTTGAACTGAATTGCTAATTTTCAATTACTTTTTTATTTACTAATCCATACTCTACAATTATACTGAGAACTAACATGATATATATTTGTATATTTGTTTGTTTCTTTCTCCAGTTATATTTAATTTATATGTCATCTGTTGCATCTGTAATAGATATTAAAATGAAGGTTCGGATTAATTATGTAGCAGATTTATAAGGTCAAAATGTCAGCGTTTTCGCGCATTTACACTACAATACCATGTCACTGCCAAAGTTGATCTGGTTCACACGGTTACGCAGTTTGTTAAATAATACAATTTTAAAATTAAATTCGGTTTTTTCAAAATTAATCATACAACATAATATTATTAGTTCAAAAAATAAAGTGCTAGTTAATAATTTCGTAATTTTATGATTTTTTTCAAATATGTACTTTATAAAAATGTTTTGTGTAATCCACTCGCCACTCATATACATTATATATACAGATTTGTGACAGTTATGTAATCATTTGTATAATCTAAGTGAAAATATAACTATCTAATGATAATGTACCAATTATAGTTCATAGAAATAAACGACTTTATCTAGTGGTCTGAAGTTCCCTCTCACAAGGGCCCAGAATAAATGGCAGTGGCTCGTATCGAGTTCACCCCCAGATGAAAATTATCATTACCTAATTATATTTTCAACACACTTTAACATCGTTGCATTTTATTTTATTGAACAGTAGAATAATATGAACCATCGTTGTACAAATAAATTATTGTATTGGACCCATCATAATAAATCTACAAACTGCCAAATAGTCTTTTTATTTTCCGTCTGCATATGCTACAGCAGTATTTTACAGCTAGGAGGGTAATTCCTCTAAGGTTTTCAGATGTCGGCTTTGTGGCTCATATTTACGCAATATCGTACGTTGGAACCGGTTGAAAAGTTCTGGTCACGTAAACCTGAACCGTAGAGCTGCGGTTCATCAACTCACAGCTACCATTACTGTGTCGAAGTTTAAAAAAATATGAAAGATTTTTTTTATAGTTTATCTGAGATAGAAGCAAGTTTATATGTATTATCTATGATGGAAGTTGTATAATCTTTGTCAGTCGCCGCCATATTAATTTCGTCAAAGACAAAACGCCGGCCTTTTTTATTTCCCCTTTTCTGTCAGCCGTGAAGCGTTCATATAGTTTCGACACAGAAAATTGGTAAATGATGGCAGCAAATAATTACTTTGGGTTCACCCACGGGGGAACCCAATACGGGTAAGTAAAAATTGTTTAGTTGGTGAAACATATTAGGACGTAGTACGTAGTACAACGTGCATGTCCAAACTCAGCCTTGTGCTCGTGTGTCTAATCAAAATGGCGACTAGTTGTATTGATCGTGGATAATTGGTGGAATAGCGTGATTATTGTGAACAGAGTTGTGTTTGGTAATTTTAGCGCGGCAACAGCGTCGGCAGCCTACGGCGGTCAGACTGGGTACGCCGTAGCGCCAGCCGCCACCGCCGCCACTTACGGCACCCAGCGCGCCGCGGCCACGGGCTACGATACTGCATATCAAGCCGCAGCCGCCACACAAGGTATGAACAAAAACTACTTTTTAGTAAAATATCCTCGTTAACTTTTCAATTCAATAGAAAAGTTGGGACCTTATCTAATTTGATGATTAATCAGTTTGCTTCAATGTACTACATATCCGTTGCTTTAGGAACAACCGTAAAAAAACGATGAATGCCATTGAGCGTAGACCCATGACGGTTGTCAACCTACCAATACTAATAACAACTTGTTATTATTTTTTGTTTATTTTTACATCTGTAATGTTTTATCTATGTTTTCACATTAGATTAAACCGAAATTTAGGCTTATTAAGCAAACTATTCTTAATGTATATTAGCTGTCGCCTGCAAATTCCTTAGTACAAAATAAAAAAGTTGCTTATATACCGGCATACATCAGCTACCTTCCAGTGAAAGTCCTGTCAAAATCAGTCCAGCCAAAGTGATATGACAAAAATAAATATAGAAATATAATAATTCAGAATATAGAAAATTTTAAGAATATAAGCCTAAATTTCTAAACATTATGTTCATCTCAAGCATTTACCCCCATTAATTTGATAAATGTCAAGATTTATTTACATTAAATATGTGGTACTTATCGATACACAGTCCATCAACATTATTCTTTTAAGAAGAAAGATAAGAAGAAGTAACACAATTTTAAGCATTTTTCTATAAATATTTGATGAAAATATTTGATAAACATAGTAAATTTACTACTTGTAATTGCTCGAAATTGGAAGTAATATCAAACTTTTCATAATGTGAATTGTGAATATTCATAATGGTGCAGTTCAGATTTCCAAGTATATTATTTGCACCAATGTTACATGAAATATGTGTCCAAACATATATCTGTTTTTCCAACAAAAAGTATTACATCTCTATGAGTTAAGTGCCTGGGATGGAATTTATGTATTTAATTCTCATCTAAGTCCATATGACAAGTTTTATTTAACATATTAGTATGACGATCTGTCGCAGCGGCGGCGCACGCGCACGCGCAGGCGGCCGCGGCGGCTGCGTCGGCGTACGATGCCAGCAAGAGCGCGTATTACCAGCAGGCGTACCCCGCGCCTCCGCAGCAACCGGCATACGATGCCGCCAAGCCCGCCTACACCACACCCGCCACCTACGCGCAGGTGACCACCACCGCCTACGCCGCGCACACCGCGCACTCCGCCCACACCGCGCCCGTCTCCTACCAAGTTAGACCTCATTACTACACCCTTCACACAAACACACACTGCCCCATTACAAAATAGTGTTTCTCGAATGTGTCATGCCTATCTATGGATATTATATGTCTATTATTGATAAGAGTGCCCACTGATGTTGTATATTTATGATTAAAGTGACCAATTCAATAAATATATCTTTTATCATATAACTCTTAAAGTTGGTATTGAAAATATGACCAACTTTCTGTGTATGACACTCATTATTTTTTGTTCAATGGTTGCTATTGTTGATGTTGTACAATGTATTATTCATTATTTTATTCATTTATGAAAGATCTCTTAGGATATGAATTGCAGGAATAACAAAAGATATCATGTCTTAGATGATGGCAATTTATTATTGTGTAAACCTTCAATAGAGTAGTGATTTATGTTAGGATGACATCCTCTTGGAGAGTTGCCAGTTTCCAATGATTGAAAGAGCTCATTGAAGTTTCAGCTTATGTCTAAAGTAGATTTTAAAACAATTGATTTTGTATAGAATAGACTTTTAATAATATATTTTTATCATCTTCAACAAGTAAAAGTTAATTTTTCCATGAAAATGGATGTTATGTTTTTCTAACAGTAATAATTATAGAAATTTTCAAAATACTGGTCCAGGGAGGCGCGCGTGCGGGCGGCGGGGCGAAGGCCTATGGGGGCGTATACACTGCCACCACGGCGGCCACCTCGTACCCCACGCAGCCCTACAGCGCGCCCGCCGCGCAGCCCGCCAAACGTATGTATGGTACATGTTGATCACTTCATGCTCCTAGCTTAGAAAAACCATATACTCTTAAGAAATAATTATAAAGCTTATTGATTGTAGTCAAATACAAAGATTGTCTATTTTTGTGGTTAATATTTAATGTTCAGGTATATATATTTGTTACAATGTCAGTTGTTATTGTTGCCGAGAGCAATGTGGCTAGAGGCAAAAATGTATGGTTTAACGTGATCCTGTTTGTTGCAGCTCTCTACAATGCCGCCACTATGTATGTCGCGCAACAAACTAAGACTGGAGGGGGCGGGTAAGTTTCTATATATTTCTTATGAGAGCTTTTAAAGCTGACCGACTACTCTTTTTACATTGAGAAGTTTGTGTATTGTAATTGAATATCCTACAATTAGGGAATTATTGTATCACAATTATTTATTATCAGAAACATGTGTAAATAAGAATAAATTTTTATAGTGGTTGGAAGAACTACAACAAAGGCGGAGTGGGCGCGGGTCAGTCGCGGCGCCCCAAGCCGCCGCCCAAGGCGCAGCAGTTGCACTACTGCGATGTCTGTCGAATTTCCTGCGCCGGCCCTCAGGTATGTCATTACATTAATTTGTGTGTGTCATAACATAAATTCGCGTGTATGCGAGTTTTCCAAATGTGTGAACGGATGTGCAGACGTACAAGGAGCACCTGGAGGGGCAGAAGCACAAGAAGAAGGAGGCGGCGGTGAAGATGTTCTCGTCGGGCGGGGGCGCGGGTGGTGCGGGCGGCGCGGGCGGCGGCGGGGCGGGCGCGGGCGTCGGGCGGGGTGCGGGCGGGGCGCTGCGGTGCGAGCTGTGCGACGTGACGTGTACGGGCGCGGACGCGTTCGCGGCGCACGTGCGCGGCATCAAACACCAGAAGGTTCTCAAGCTGCACACGATGCTCGGCAAGCCAATACCGCCGGCCGAGCCCGCCAAGATACACACAGGTTTGGATAGTCGTTTTTCACAAATGCAGACATTTTCATCATTTACCACACTGGAAGACACCCTATGTTGATGAGTTATACTCTTTCATTGAAAATACTTTGTTGATATTTGCATGTACTACAAGTTGCAGTATCATTTTTGTTCTGTATTTAATAATATATTTTTATCCAATAATTACATGTATTGTGCATCTTTTTCCTGTTATCTAAATAATTTTTTTTTAATTTAGAATTTTATATAAATTTAGTATTACTTTTTGCATCACTCTAAAGATTTTTCTATAAAGTGAACGTTTGAATCTTAAAAATGTGCACGCTACATAGAAATGGATGCGTTCCTGTTATCCATACATAGTACCCCTTTTCTGAATGAGTACATGCTATAATTTAAATATTTGCTACTTCTTATATGTCGTGTTAAATTTTTATTACAACATTGGCTTTGTCTTTGCAGCAGATAAATGTTTGTTTCGCAGTCGTGCATTGTTACGTCAAATGTTTTGCATATTGCTCGCTCCCTTCACTTTTAAAAATGTTATGTTTATGAGCTTTTCATTTGAAAAAATAGAAAGAAATTGTGCATGTGACGGCTACGAAATGTTCCGTTTCCGTGTAGTGACAGTTGATTCCCCGGATTGTTTGTTTGTTTGTTTGTTTGCTTCACGTAAAAGCAAGCTCGCCCCCGCGCACGGTACGTGCAGAGTAGAGCAGAGCAGAGCGTGCGCGGGGGCGTGGCCGAGTAGCTCGCACCGCGCTGAATTCTCTTGACGCCACAGCATCATATCTGTATCGGCGATCACTCAAATTTTCTCTAAACTATTTTCACCAACACTCGGTACAGATATGGAGTGTGACTCATAGACCTTTTACAATTTGTAGATGTTACTTTTTGTGATAATAAAAGGATCTATGCGCGTGTTTTGTGTGAGAGAAAATTTGACTGTTCCGATCAGCGAAAAAGACGGTGGCCGGTACGCCCAAGATCGCTTTCGTGGCGTCTGGAGAGCTCAGCAGTGTGGCGAGCGGTGAGGCTGAGGGCGGCGCGTGCGCAGACAAGGACGGCGACGACGAGGAGGGCGAGCCGGAGCCCGAGGTGCAGCCCGTCGGTCAGGACTACATCGAGGAGATCCGCGGCGACGACGGCAAGGCGCTCAGCTTCAACTGCAAGCTCTGCGACTGCAAGTTCAACGACCCCAACGCCAAGGAGATGCACATGAAGGGCCGCCGCCATCGCCTCCAGTACAAGAAGAAGGTAATGTACACATTCAACTATACAACAACATATGAGAATGTGGCATCCAATGATTACTTAGTAAAAGGTTTGAGGCGCTCGTCGAGCCCGGCGGCCGCGACCCTACCCACTGGCTGGCGAGTGGCTGGCGAGTGGCCGCCGAGAGATCCGAGTGTCGCGTGATTACAAGGCATTATGAGGATGACCGACGCCAATATCATAACAATACAACTTTCATTGGTGATAGAATAAAGTGTAACATTTACAATGTTGTATGCAGGTGCAACCGGACCTCGAGGTGAAGGTGAAGCCGTCGACGCACCAGCGCAAGCTGGCGGAGGCCAAGGCGCAGCGCATGATGGGCCGCGACGACATGTGGGCCCGCCGCCGCTTGCATGACGTAAGTTAAAACATCGCATCCTTCAAGAGTCACCTTCAGAGGTATCTACTAATCTAGCGCGTAAACTGGCTAGAAATGTGGTTGAGCGCTAGTTTCCGTTGATAAAAAAGCACCATTTCATTGTGTTAATAGAATGTAATTTCAATATTAAATGTGTGTTGCAGGGCATCGAGGACGAGGAGCGCGTGTACTGGGATGGCAGCGCGGAGGCGTGGTGGGGGCGCGGCCCGCTCCCGCCTCACATGCACCACCACCACCACGTATGTACCACATCGCACTACATCGCACACAGCACCCAGCACCCAGCACCCACCTGCTGTCTTGTGTACAAACAAGATCGTGTTATGTGCAAGGAGTGCGACTCCTCTATGAAGGAATGCTTTGTTACCGAGTAGAAGTTGAGTACGTTAGGTGAAGGTATTGTGTGTGCAGCAGGGCTTGGGCGCGCCGTACGGCACGCTGGCGCGGCGCGGCGAGACGGCGGACGACCGGCACGTGCTGGCGCGCCACGCCGACATCTACCCCACAGAGGAGGAGCTGGAGACCATACAGCGCGTCGTCTCGCAGACTGAGCGCGCCCTCAAGTCGCTCTCCGACGCCCTCGCCGACGCCAACAAGCCTAAGGTATGCACGCAACTCGCACGCAAACTAAATACCTTACTGAAAGTCTGCTTATGTTTTATTTCATTATTTCAATGTTCAATATCATTAATACCTTCATTAAAATGAACTTGTGTATCAGGTTATTTATATTGGAATTGTTATGAAAATTTTAATCGACTTCATTAATATTTAGCAGCAGGCGCAACCCAACAAAGCCCCGCCCAAGCCGGAGGACAAGAAGGACGACAAGCCCGAAGGCAAGGAGGACGGCCGCGACAACCAATTGTAAGTCGAACAAGCTTTACTGCTTAGACTGTTAATTCGAATTTCAGAAAATGACTATCTCTGATCCAATTCAAAATAATTAGGAAGCGAAGTGTAGAAGTAAAAGTTGTCTAAATATGTTAGGTTCTCGTTCGCGGGCGAGGGCGAGGTGAGCGGCGGCGGCGGGGGCGGGAGCGCAGGCGCGGGCGGTGCGGGTGGTGCGGGGGCGGGCGAGGTGGCGCGCGCACTGAAAGGCGTGATGCGCGTGGGCCTGCTGGCCAAGGGGCTGCTGCTGCGAGGCGACCGCGACGTGCGCCTCGTGGTGCTCTGCCACGACCGCCCCACCGTCACGCTGCTCAAGCGCGTCGCCGCAGACCTGCCGCACCACCTCATGCGCATCAAGGTACCTCCAGGGAAGACTCCACTTCGACCGTTATTTTAAATACTATAGCATCCTATGTATGGTATGTGTACGTTCCAGTGCGCGGGCGACGAGTTCAAGTACAAGGTGGATCTGCTACCGGCGGAGGGCGCGGTGCAGGTGTCGGACGGCAACGTCAACGTGCTCGTCAGCCTCACCTCCGCCGTCATGCGCGAGCCTGCAGGTACACCCCCACCCCCACCCCGGCACCACACCCCCACACCCCCACCGCACGACTCCACCGCGACAATCGCACGACATGCGAGGTGAAGTGTCACCAAATCTGTTTCATTTGATCAATGTCAATTTAGTTCATTACCTTACTAAGTTCCATGTATACAATTCTAAGGTACTGAGCTATTTTGCTCGCGTCTACGATTAAGCAACAGGCCGAACAATAGGAGCGATATTTATTGTAATGTACAAGGTTAGCGTTGCTGGCAACGAGCGACGAGCGACGAGGTAAATATTTCACCTCGCGTAACTCGTGTTGCGATTGCGCGTAGAGGTCGTACGTACATGTTATATGTGAAGACGGACATGGGAACAAAGTATCTGTTTGTCGAATTACAATGTATTTTGTTTTACAATTATTTGTCAATTTGATTTGTTGTAACGTAGAATTGTTTACGAAAGCAATGAGATAATTTGTTCAGAAGTGACGCTTGGTGCGGCCGCGCCGGGCACTGTTGTGTGTGTTGGCTTATTTTTAGGTGTGATGTAGAGTAAGCAGCGAGAAGAAAAGGATTTTTGATCATCCCTTGCGATATATCACGCGCCCCGCGCCGTGCTATATTCATTACCGGTCTACTGAAACGGAGCAAACATTCCCCTCTCATGTGCTCTTTCTATTCATATATACATATGTTTATATTTATGCTTAGAATAGTACGTTATGTATACGATGAATATTTAGTGGAGGTATGTGTAAGTGGTTAGGCCGCCTCCGCCATGTTTGCCCCGTTTTGGTGGACTTCCTGATGGTCAAACACCCTTTGTGTTGTTGTCGCTAGAGGGTGGCGACGTAAAGCGCGACGACAAGGACGTGCTACCGCGGCAGAAGTGTTTGGACGCGTTGGCCGCCCTTCGGCACGCCAAGTGGTTCCAGGTACATTCGCCCACATTATCAGACGTCTGCGCACTCCGCTCGACATTACCTTCACTTGCCTTGCCACGCAATCATTGTCTCACAGAGCCGTCTGTTGCCGCGCCTGTGCTGCTTCTTTTCATTGTCTTCGACATCGCCCTTCTAATTATTTATATTTTAATTAAATTCAATTTTAAAATGTAGAAAAAACAATTACTAATCTTTAGAGGGAGTGCGCACGTTTATTTTAGTCACATGTTTTTTTTTATCTAATTAATGTAGATTTTTATTTGTTTTAAGTAAATAATTATAATATAAAATTTATACTCCCATGAACATGTGGCTACAAAGTGCTTGTCGACAAAGCTGCGTTTCCATTCGCACTTTGACATGGCCTCTGGGAGTCGATAAGGAGATACGAGGAAACGCAGTTTGAGCGTAGTCTGATCCAACGGAGATGATAACACATACATTTCTCTTGTTTATCTTACAATTTACCGACAACGGAATCTCTTAACCTATAAAAGTTTATTTAAACTGCTCACCTAATACTTTAGAGTCACAACGGCAAGCGGAAATCCGGTTTATTTAAAAAAAGGCTCTTTTAGCCGTAGCTATGTATAGTAACCGGATGAGCGAGCCTCGTGTCCAGCGTTTTGTCAGTGCGGTGGGTTAAGAGATTCGGTGTGTGAGCGTGCGTGTGAGTGACCGGGCGCGCGGGGCGCTGCGTGTGCGCAGGCTAGGGCGGCCAGTCTGCAGTCCTGCGTCATCATCATACGCATCATGCGCGACCTGTGCCGCCGCATACCCACCTGGGTGCCGCTCAACCCATACGTGAGTATAAACATTACATATTTGTATCGCTTATATAACAACCGCATGGGGCTATGGACATACTAATATATTTTTAAAGTGACATGATTTTTTTAAATTTAATCTTGTATCAAAGTGTATTTCTATCCCAGGCTATAAACAACTCTTAGTATATTGAAATAAGTTGGAAGGCGTGTGTTTAAAGTCCGAGCTGTAATTAGTGATTGGTGAGATGTGGCGCGTTGTGCAGGCTATGGAGCTGCTGGTGTCGGGCGTGATGCAGTCCGCGGGCGCGGCGCTGTCTCCGGGCGAGGCGCTGCGCCGCGTGATGGAGGCGGTGGCGGGCGGCCTGCTGCTCGACCACGGCCCCGGTCTGCGCGATCCCTGCGAGAAGGAACTCGTTGTTAGTGCCTCTTCTTGCTTACTTAAGAATCAGAGCAAAAAAAATTGTTGTAATTTTCATATTGGCGAATTTTATCTGTTTGTAAACGTAGATATGTCAAAATATGTATTTTCACGGTATACCATTTTTAAAATGTAAAATTGTTTACCAGGACGCGCTGGGCAACCTGCCGTCACAGAAGCGCGAAGACCTGACGGCGTCCGCGCAGCAGTACCTCAGGCAAATTGCATTTAGACAGATACACAAGGTGAGTAGCTATGTGAATCAGATGTGTCTGACATGTTTTTTGCACAATAAAATAGTTTTGAATGATATGTGTTAATATGTGCAGGTGCTGGACATGGAGATGCTGCCGAAGCCGAAGCACACCGGCGGTCCGTGGAAGTTCCCGCGCAAGCGCAGGCGCTCCAACACCGACACAGACCCTGACCAGCCCAATGGTAACCATCATACACATACACGTCACTTATTGTATCGATGTTTGTATTGTAATGATGTAACTAGATGACGAATCGTAGATCTGGTCAACGTCGGCGGGGAGGGGGACGGCGCTGAGTTATTCAGCGTCCAGCCCGACCCGACGACAGCGACCCGGCCCTTGAAGATATAGCACTATTCTGATCCTAAAAATACAATTCAACACAAGTCATAATCCTGATGCAAAAATATATATCTATTGAAGATGAATATCTCAAATGTGTACAATTTTCAGGTGAAGGCAAAGTGGTAAAGACGGAAGAGAAGATGGACGCGACGGAGTCGAGCGCGAAGAAGTAACGCTTGGGGCTGCGCGCGGAGGGGAGGGAGGGCCCGCCCTGCGCGCCGCACCTTGCCACTCGCACTTGTTTTGTTGTGTAGGAGGTGTCGTACACGAACTTTATTCATTCGGAATTGAACTTTGATACTAAGCGTAGTAGACGAGTAACACTTTGCCTCTAACGAAACACAAAAGGTGGCGCAAACCTTTTTAAATTAATTCAATTCTTGCAAGTTTGTCTTCGAGACATACAAAATAACATAATGGAACACTATCTTACTAACACCTCACACATTATTTGACTGAAGTTTGTTTAATAGTTGCTTTGAACTTAGTTGAAAATTTGTGATTTGTTTTATTTAGGACAATGAGGAGATGAATAATGCAATAGATGTAAACATGTCCGCCGTCGTTACCCCGCCGCCCCCGCCGCGGGTTGACGTAGGATTTAAACATTGTTCTGATATATATATTTATTATACTTTATATTTAATATATAAAAATATTTTATGTCACAGGAAAATGTAAAATTATTTTTGTGGCATCGATCTGTCCAAAAACTATCAAGATTTAGTCCAAGATATGTAGTGTTTAGTCTCTAGGCTATATTCTATATTGTGATTAGTGGATTGAGAATTGGTATTGCACGAGAGATGACAGGGATTGTCGCACAGACTCGCCGCTCCTCCGGGGGCGCAGCGACACGCGAACTTCGACAGTTTTAAAGAATGGTCGTAGCGTAAGTTTTTTTAATGTTAGGATTCAGTATTTGACATCAAGCAGTTAGTTCCTGTATTTTATTTTTAGTTTAAGGACTTTGATTACGGGAGTTCTGTATTTCAATAGTTACTTCTACCTACCTTAAATGTAGGTAAGGATCTACATTCATCATGTAATATGTTTATTTTCTTATCCAAAATATTGCATATTTTTGATTAGTGTTTAAATGTTTACAATAGACGAAATTTCAATGTTTTATCAGCAAAGATATTGTTTTGTTTCACGTCGCGTCATAACTGTACTTTATTGATAAATAAAATAATAAATTAAATCTTGGTGTTTTAATAAGTACCTTTACCTGTATATTTATTTATCCAAGTGATATGATTTTCTAAACACACTTTTATAATTTACAGTAAAATGAGGTGAATAGGCACAAAATTAGAAATAGTTTTTACACATTTTTCAATGAAAATCATTCAGTATTATGGTGTAAATGCTTTTCAATTTTTGTGTCTATTCACTTGTAACTCTAATAATGGTTTGTCAAGGAAGGAAAGTGTGTTTGATGTGACAAGGGATGTGTACATTGTGAGGCTGTCTTTACCTTTGCGGTTGTTGTTGTTGTTGTTTTTATTATTCACTCGAAAGAGCAGGCAAAGGAACTAAGCCATACAGCCTTGTCTTTTTTATTTACCTTTGCGGATGTTAACTGATGTCACGGATGACACACACAGATGTCACTGTGGTGACATAAGGTGACCATTTCCTCATATGTCGTCTTATAAAAATTCCCTTTTTGAGCTTTGTTTCTATGTACAGATCAATTGATTGCAGTGATGTTGCAATGAAAATAAATTTTAAAATAGCTTCATTTTTTTTAAGTTTTAATATACATAAAAAATGCATAATTTCCATTGATGCTTAAAAACGTTAATAAACTTAATATTAAAACAATAAGAAATTAGATTTTGGTAATTCTGTCACAATGATACCATAACATATTCACCAAAGAATTACATTTCCATTTCTTCATTGACTTCCTTTTTATATTTCTTCATATTACTACCCAAACAGCAATTTAAATATAATTGTGAGTATATTTAAAATAATCAATGGTACTGAAACAAAACAATACATTGATATAGATGATATGTCACATTCAGTAATCAATTTAAAAATTAAAATACTTACTTCTTGTCACTGTTCTTATGGATCGCACAAGGTTTAAAATTTGGAATTTCATGGATGACTGGTCCACAAAGCCTTGTTCAGAGACATTTGCACCCCATCCCACTGCAACAAAGTACATGTTTATTTAATTAAGCGGTGAAGTAGGAAGCCTGATTTGAGATGGCTCTAAACGTCGCCATAATCAAAAACGTCTTTAATTGTTTGTGTATACATATTAAATGTTATCGTATTGTTAAATTTTATAACCTATACGAGTGACTTACTCTTTTGCATAAACCTTTCTTCGTGAAGGACACATACTGCATTGAGGCAAAGCAAAGAAGCCTCAAATAAATTCCACAATGTTAGCATTTTGATTATAAACGAAATCAATTTCGCAAGTGGTTCTTGAATCAAACCAATTGAAGAAACATTAGAATTATAACGATAATATCAAATCAAACATGTCAATCTGACAGATCATAGACAAAATTTCACGGTTTAGCATGTCGTCGCAGTGCAGGACGCATTCCGCGCCATGCCGCTTTAAATGACGTCATCCGTCGAGCCCTTGCCTCTTCCGGCGTGCCGGCAGTGCTTGAACCCAATGGCATTGCCCGAGACGATGGCAAGAGGCCCGACGGTATGACGCTCATTCCGTGGAAAAACGGGCGGTCACTCGTGTGGGATGCCACATGCGTGGACACTGTTGCTCCATCCCACGTGAGAGCGACCGCTCGTAAAGCCGGCGCAGCTGCGGCGACAGCCGAAATCAATAAAAGGCGTAAATATGCGGCGTTGGCAGATCCGTATATATTTGCGCCTTTTGCCGTGGAGACCTTGGGGCCTTGGGGTGCGGAAGCCCGTCGCCTGTTTAAGGAGATTTCCGCACGCCTCATCGACGCCTCAGGGGATCCAAGGGCTGGCGCGCATTTCGGCCAAAGGTTGAGCCTGGCCATCCAACGGGGAAATGCCGCCAGCCTCTTGGGAATCCTACCGTGCGACCGCAGCGATTTGGGGTCGATTTTTTATATTATTTAGTTTTATTTTTAGTTTGGTTTAGTTTTAGTATATAGTTTATAGTATTATTTTGGTAGTTTAATTAATTAGTTTTATTAAATAATTTTAAATTGATTTATTTATATTTTAAGATAAGATATTCAAAAATTTTAATCGTAACCATTATAATAAATAGATTGTTAAATTGACAAGTAACAACTCACTGAAATTCGACAAGAACAATATAATTCACGCCTGTAATTGTAACTGTTCAGTTGTTGGATCTTGTCTTGTATACTTTTGTTTTCAATTCTTTATGTAACGGACTAGCATATCAAAAATGAGAAATCATTATGAGCGTTGGTAAAAAGTATGACGTTCTTAATAAGTAGTTTTCGCTCTCTTAAACGGTTTTATTTAATTTGTTCTTTTCATGTGGAAAATACATTAATCTGGAGGGAATAAACCTGGTGCGCCTAACCCCACTTGAGTGGGATAAGGACAAAGAAATATTCCTTTTATTTGGGTCAAAGGTTTACCCCTGGTGAGATTTAAAATACACCACTGCTTTTTACAGATATGGACAGGTCACTGCTTGTAAATTACAGCTTTTGCTTCTTTCCTTTTAAAAGTGCCAACAATACTAATGGTATGGTAAATGGACCAAAGAGTATATAAAATGGTATATAAAATGGTATGGACAGTTAATTCTCTCGCTATTATTAGTTCGAATCCTCATCACTGCCACTAACATCTGTTGTCAGCGTTAAAATGGAAAAAATCAAATTCAAGTTAAGCAAAGTCTTTTAGCACTTGTCCAAGTATTGAGGTTAATGGTTCATTTTTTCGATGGTTATTTCGAGCAATCAAAATAGCCACAAAAACCACGGCTAGTCTGTTCACTAGGTAGGTAGTATGTAGCACAGTTCTGGAACTCCGTGACGCTCTGAGGTGTTAGTGTTAACCATAAATATTATACTCTTTGGTGTCAACTGTCATTCAGTCAACGTCAAGTAACGTCAATCAAGTGCCAATTGAGAAGTGTCAAAGTGATGTCTTAATAATTCAAATAAATTAAATCAAACTAAAATCATAAGGTTTTAGTTATTGAATGAATGTTTTATCATTATTATGCAAATAGAGAGTCAATGGTGTTTCACTTAACAATTTTTATTCATTTACTGTACTTTGTAATTATGTGAAGTTTTTTAAAAATATTGTGAAGTCGTTTTTGAGCAGTTGCGCATTATTTTTAAACACATTTTTAGAATTGTTGTTCTGCTGTCTCCAGTTGTGTATAGCACTAGCAATGGATAGTGAAGACAAAGCTTTTACTATATTGAAGTGCCCTATAACTGTGCCCATCTCATTAGAGGGTACTCAGGATTCGAATCATAATAAAATGACCACAGAAGATGAAGTCAAAGAAGTTAATATGTATGCGCCGGATATAGGGCCTAAATTTTATCCAGTCAAAGGCAATGTGGTGACAGCTCCAATAATTACGAAGAATCTTCCAGAAGCGTTTAGTTCCCTACCTATTTGTGGGCGTCCAGAATCGAAGGATCGTTTAGAGCAGTTTCAAGATCAGAAGATCAGAGATTACGTCGGAGGTGGATTAAGTGAAGAAGAATTTGGTAAGCTTGCTAAATACTGCAGGTATGTATTCAGTATACATATTATACATAGAGCTTCTGTTACATAGTAAATAGGCTTATGTTTTATATGAAAATGCTAGAAGTATTCTTTATTTACAATTTTCATGATACATAGTTCATTATATATTAGCTATAATATTAGCTTACTGAATTAAATAATATTTTTAGTCCAAACCATCTTAGAACTGGTAAGGAACTTATAATGGATACAAATCTCCCAGCATTTGGTTTTCTGCCCCCTAAAAAGGATGACAAAGTTTGTGAAGAGGGTAACCAACTAAACATTGTAAAGAAGTTTAAGTTACGTGTGGAGAAAGACAAGACAAACTTATATGTGAAGAAGTTAAAGTATAGAGGAATGAGATTGCTGCCACTTACAACTGAGGTAGGATTTACTGCACATAATATAAACATTTTTACTGATACAGTTTAAGTCATGTAATACAATAAAGAACACACTCACCGACTCACATTATAAACTCAAGTATGAAATAATCATAGTGGCATGAAATTTGTTGAATAATTTAAAGGTTTTAGCCTAACTACTTTGTAAAAACCTACATAGAGGTTTATAAGGTTATGTAAGAGTAATTTGCAGATATGTGGTCTACCTTCTTGTCTTACCATGTACCTTCCATAAGGCTGGTACTGAACAGTGCCTTGTATGTCTCTAATTATTAAATTTGTCTGATTCTTGTATAATGATTTATGTTCCATTCTGTGTATACAAGATGTTTTAACTGAATGTCTCAAAATGTGGCATATAATATTTTCAGGATGAGGATAATGATGAGATAAATGGAACTCCACTTGAACCGGGCAAAGACATACTGTACAGAGTGCGCTTTTACAGACCTTTTATGTGTGGCAAAGAAAGAAATGTAAGTAACTTTGAAATTGATACTTATTATTTATTAGTGGTCTGTCATAAATTCACAGACATTTCAACAGTTTCGTGAATCCTTGCTGCTATATTTTTTCTGTTGTGTTCTCTGTGCACTATGGTGTTTATATCACTTGGTTGGAATATAACAATTTTTGTTTTGCAGAATTCACGTCACTCGGTGTTCACATGCGACGTGGTGGTGTCAGGTCAGAGCCGGCTGTCTGCGCTGCGCGAGCGCATCGTTTGCGCTAACGACGTGGACGTGCGCGTCGATGTCTCCGCAAATCCTACGGAATTGCCTCAAACCACCGCCAAGGTATTAAGTCTAGTTTTTTAGGTTAAAATTTGTTACTCTCATCATTAGTTCACTTAACTGGGAGGTTTAGTGGATGGCAAATGTTATTTGATGTTAAGCATAATAAGTTATTGTTACAAATGTGTTTTTTGTTGCAGGAATTGTTTCCATCAGGGTTCATGTTCATAAACAACGTGTTCTACGTGGACGAGCGCGAGGGTCGCGTGGACTACACGGAGCCCATCCGGTTGTGGGCGCAGCGCCGCGCCATGGGTGACTTCCCCAAGGTAGACATGCATCAAGTGCGGCTGCAGGACCTCGTCATACGTCTCGGACATCCAGAGGTAAATTGCAGATTCTTGTCATCTAAATTAAATAATCTAGATAAAATGAACCAGCCGTTCTTGTAATATGTCCAGGTGTACATCCACCAAGGCAACTGCGAGCACCTGTTCACGTTCTCTGAGGTGCGGCTGGTGGGTCCGGCGGAGCTGGTGATGGCGGAGCAGCTGCCGCGCCACACGGCCGTGCTGCAGCATCAGACCGTGTACTGCACCACGTGCGCGGAGTTCGGCGCCAAGTGGGTGGTGGTGGGCTGTCCCCGCGTGCCCTTCGACCCCGCCTTCTTCTGTGACACCTGCTTCATGCTCTATCTGTACATCGACGGGAAGAAGATTGGCGATTTTAAAGCTTACTCTTATAGAGGTAACGAAATAAATACCTTGAAACCGCTCGGTTAATAAATTGTTTTTTTACTTTCTACTGTTTTATTACTTCAACCGTTTTACATAGACCTATATGATATTTGACATGTCATAAAAATTTCCTCAATGTCAACTCAACTCCTCAGGATGTTGCAGAAACACACAATAGAAAAATGTCCATCTCATATTTCTAACAAGAAAAAACATCTTGCGCCTGTCAGAAAAATATAGCAATATTTTTTGACCTATACATTTTTATAATGGTTGAATTTTGCCACACCTCGATTAGTTTTAAGCAGTGTCATGTAGTAGTGACATGATCATTATGAACTGTACGTAATTTACATAGTCTGTTACAGATACAGAGTTGTTACAATATTGCAGGCCATATGTACACCACAGCGGTGCTAAGAAATTCAACCGATATACTTATCTTTTATTGTAAGACAAGGAATAAAACGACAGCGGGAACAACACAGCGATCATTGCCGCCCATTGACATCTACAACATCAGAGCGAATATTAATGTGTTGCCGATCTTTGGGAAAGATATACGTTCGCTTCTAAGTACAAATCTAATTATATCATGGTTAAAGATAAAGTAAGTTAAAAAGACGAGGTTCGATGGACGTCGAAATATCCGGCTGCCTGTTTTATCATCGATAAGCAAAGACAAATCATCTCGATCTTTGTCAAAAACCTAATGAAACCAAAGATAAGTCGTCATCCGGTTCTTTGCTTATGTTCCAATCTTACAAACTAGGTTATCTGTGTAAACATAAACAGTGCAGTTTATTTTTAGTCTGTGCAACGCGCGCTTTTCCAGGTTATACAGATTAAATAATTTCAGCTGTCAGAGAAGCGTTCCATCTTCATTTTCGCGGCGTTCGATAAGAATGCATGTCAGTAATAGGGTTGCCATGTGCATAGAGTATTTAATGACAATGTTTTATCGACAAAAAAATCATTAATCTATTTTCTGTGGACTGGAATTGATAAAGTTGAGATTTTTAGGGACAGTTTCAGAAGCGTTGTCTACCTTTTATGGACAGTGGAAGAGATGGATGACATTGTTTACTTTGTATAGTTGTTTTAAATACATATATCTTAACGCTACACACACATCATACACACTATTATGTATATACAATAACCAAGTAACAAAGTCGTTATCTATAAAATATTATATTAGCACAGGCCGTTTTTTGACAGGATAATGCATAACTAAATGACATCAGATATTATAAAATGCATATAAGACATTTTAGTTGAAAAAGATTCGCTATTTGGGTCACATACCGAGGGAATGAATCTTTGCTCTGCGTTTGTTATCTCGTGCATAAAGCCTCGCCAGATAGCGATAACTGAAGAATTTCAAATACCTTTGCTAAACTCTGTAATTAGAAAGTGTTTTCACGCAAAAACATCATCCAAGAAAAGTATTATATTGAATCATATTGCTGTAGTCAATTTTTTCAGCCAAAGTCCACGTGCGGTATACAATATTGATAGAAACAGTGGGACTGTTGCGGGTAGTTTCATAAGAAACTTCATAATGAAACACGCGCTGCATGAGCAGTCTCTTTCGATTTGTCATTGCAGAACGTCTGACATTTTTGGCTTGTATTACTTTCGGTTTGAATTCGTAATTTTGTGGAAATTATTTAGAAGTTTTTAGGAAAATACTTATGGATCAAATATCTAACAATTTAGTTAATTCAGTCAGTCCAGCAAATTGTAATCGACTTATCGATTGATTCGTCTTAGCGTGTTCTAATTATTGGCAATCGAATCCTGACATCACACCTCATCAATTAATAAATGAAGTAAACCTTATAAAAGTGTAGTTATAGCAGAGCATTCGCAAGTGGTAAAGTTGTTATGCGAAGTGTATTACGCATGATGTCACCTCTCGCCACTTGAATTTGCTTACAAGCTATTCTTACCGAGTCAATATTATCTCATAGCCTGCCTTACCATCGCTTACATAATTCATACAGCCTTACATTGTTCCTTTGCTAATTCTCTGACATATTCAAGTTTGAATTGTTTTATTAACCTTTAGTAACGTTTGTGCCTTGGATACATGCCATAGTACGACCTATGTAGTAGACTGACACAAAAGCGAACTGCGATATTGAAAGATTGCCTACATATTGATCTGATTGTAAAGTTTCCGACTGACTAAAGTTTTGATAAAAGCCAGTAATCTTAATATTATCAGACGCATCTTCTTCAGAAGATCGTTTGTCTATGGGTTTCCATTCAAATGCGTTTCCATATGTGTTATATTTAATTTGGATTACCACAAGACCTCCTTTAAAATGTTATTTTTGATGTAACCTTAATTTTTTCCACTGTTATACGTCGGGTCATCTTGGAGTCCACATGAAGCATTTTGGAAATCATTATTTTAGTTTAGTACATATAAAATTATAATATTACTATTTGGCCTTTACACAAGTCCGACGTCGCTATTTATTACCTAATGTACAATGACGATTCTATCGCAACTAACGTTTTCGATGATTTATCACCCATTGTATCCTTTTATAACTTCACATACATAAATATACGATGCTGTTGTTAAAATATATCTTTTTTATAACTTTGTCGGACGATTGTATGATTTGATTTTCATTGCACTGTCAGCGATTTAGTGGTCTGCAAGAGAGACCTTAAGCGACTGTTTTAGTAACCAAAGTTTCTGAGTAGGAACAATAAAGAGAAACATGACGGTGATGTGAGGTGCGTAATATAATCTACGGTTCCTTAAATAAAAGGAAGTATTTATTAGAGTGTTGGTATTTCGTAAGAGTGGTGCTAAGTAATTAACCAATTGTAGTTATCAGTCGGTATTCGTGAGTGATGTAAGCGCACATCTAAACATCTTATCTATTCGCGCTATCTGTTTCATTGCAATTAAATATATTATATTGTTTATTCAGATGGTGAGGCGTTAGTTTCGCTAACGTCTATTTGAGATATGTTGTAATCGTTGATATGATCAACAGAATATCTATCTGCCTTAAACATAAAAAAACTAAACGAAATGTTACTAGAAATGTAGCTCAATATTTCTGATGTGTCCACTTTCATCTAACACGAGGTTAATTTTACACTGAGCCATAGGAGTTTGAACATTTCTAAGTTGATCAACAGTGCATCTGAAATTAGGCTAATCCTGTAGTTTTGTAGCCAAGAGGTCGAAAAGTTATCATGTCTTTAAGCCCAAATAATCATGATCGGCGTTGTTCTAGGTTTTTAGTAACTACAGTAATTTTATGATAGTCACAAAGCAGATTTTGTGTCCTAAATGTTTTGAACTGACATATGGCAGACTAGATACCATGTTATCCACGCCTACATAAAACAACTGCGTGCTGCAAATGCCCTAATTGCGATTGGATTGTTGAAACTGTGACCTACGTTATGGAAAATTTTAGTTTGATCTGATTTAATTATTAGAGGAAAATATAAATAAAAAATAGAACTCTAAATAACCGCTTAATCAATGGCACTTTAAATAGGCATGGTTAAGAATATGAAAAAATAAAATAAACAAGAAACATGAATAATTTAGCGCATTTAATAACGACAAATTAGATACTTGAAGAAAGTATAAACAAATTAAGTAGACTTAAATAAAACCTAAAAATTTTGCTTGACTCTATCTCTAATTTGAATCCAAATAGTTTTTAAGTTTGTCTATGGTGTACGATGGCCGATGGCGCTAGTGTGCCGCTGTGTCAACACGCGCGCCGTGTTTGTGCTTCGTATCTAATCTGATTGTTTGCAGCCTCCTTACGCTCGCTGCGTGACCCAATTAATTGCTATACATTAGCATTTTGTACGAAATATACCTGATAATAGGTAAATTATAATACACTGGAGATTTTGAGATGAATACGTACTAACCTAACTCTTTGCAACTTATTTAAGCGCAAAGATCACTTTTGCAAGCATACACGTTTAATGATTTCAATTATTGAGTAATTTTTTGTAATTGCAAGTATATTCTTCTTTTAAATACTTGTTTCTGTTAAATACGAATTATTTAAATGGATGTTTGGTATTTGATATCTCCAAAATGACAAAGCGGATTTTGCCGAAATTTGGCGGGAAAGATAGAAATACAACATAGTCTGGAAGAACGCACAGTTTACTAATTAAGTTTCTATGTAATTAGGTGGGGACGGAGTCGCGGGATAAAGCTTATTGTAAATATGTTCTTTTACAGAAAAATATACACTTAAAATTCAAAATTACTTTAATGAAGTGTAAGAAATGATAACTGCTAAAACTAATAATTTAATTTTTTCTTTTAATTTAAATTCGTATGCCAGCTTGCTCGAGGCCTTAGATGTTGCCAGGTAAAAATATTAAGTTCCATAGCTCAACTTTTTTTTTTAATTCGTAAAACAATTATATCGTGACACAGATAATATAATACTATGCTTGTTTGTGGCACGTATTCATCACGTTCAGATGCAAGTGTGCACATTTGCACAAGAATCACTGTCAGCTTGTTATTTTATTGTAAGTTGTAAATATTTCTAACGAAGCTGATATAATGTAATCTGTACAATTATAAAGAGGAAAGATTTGATTATTTGTTTGCATTGAATATGCTCCGAAACTATTGAACCGATTTGAGACATTCTCTTACATCTATACATATAAATAAAATTAGAGAGTGTACTAATATTATAAATGGGAAAGTTTGGATAGCACACATGTAGAACATAGTATGGAAAAACACAAAAGTAGGAAGACGAAATCCCGGGCAAATGCTATTTAATAATCACTTACTAATCATGATTTTTTAAATAACTTGCTTCATGACATTCACATGAATAATGCAATAAATGTATTTACTCATATATAATTGATTAATATGTAAACAATTAATTGTCGTCATAAAAAGCGAAGTTTACTTAAGTTTTGGTTATTAATAAGTTCAAAAATTATAATTCTTAGACCTTCTTAAGATTAGCATCTCTTTGTTCCGTTTTAAGTTTCTGCAGATGAGTAACGATCATTTCGCTC